TTGATAGCCTAAAATCAGAAATATCTGTATATAGAGAGTACTAATAGCTGTCCTGTATCGGTCCGACTTAAAGAACAACAATTTTACTCCGCCTAACTCTTATTTAGCCACAAATAATTGCTAGGACAGGATACAAATGAATAGGAATTCAAACCTATAAACGCACGTGAATCACATCAAAATTGATTTTCGACAAGGAAGCTGTAGGCTTTTCGTTATGGAAACCGTGGACACATTAGCACAGTCACAGACACTCATTTTTGGGGTAGTAACATTTTGTGGTCTACCTATTGTTGCATTTCGTGCCTCGCTTAGGATTTTCATAACTCCACATATAAATCTGACTATATAGGCCAAAATTTGAAACAGCGTTGACTTATATCCAGCAAGGCCAATCTATGAATACCTTCGACCCGCCTTCTCAAAGGAAACGGACGAGGCATCAATATCAAGCGTTGACTTGACTACTGAAAATTCGGCCTCTACTAAGGAGCCCCTGGGAGACAACTTATGTTACTCGTCCTGCCTTAAAAAGCATACTCAGAGAAAGAGGCAAATAGCCGTCAATCACAACGGACTCTTTGTGATTGGTCTACAGATGAGAGAAATAGGGGCTCAATTGGATCGAATTAGTCGTTTAACTGTCCATTTATCCCGAATTTCGCGGTTTTTATTGTTATATAACCGAATAACTTGGATTGATATAACTACTTATACATGGCTACTTTTCCATCAAAATGAACTAAGTATTCTTTGGCATATAATACTTCATGTTTGATGCCAAAATTTTAACATTCATTTTGGTGCGATTTGCTAAGCCAAAATTTATTCTATCAGATGCGTTGTGATGAAATTCTAAAGCTCATCCCAAATAAGTTCTGCCTGGCTAAAGTCCCCCTTTCGAAAGATCACACATTTAAAAGAACCATCTACTGCTTTATGGTGGTAGTGCTTACTCGTCAGAGATGTAATTCCGGTAAAAGCATGTTTTAGTATTATGATATGCCTCCCCTCTATAATGTGCACTAGTTCTCCTACCTTAGTTAGTATAAACTACCTTGGTGAGAGATCCAGACACAGTTTATTAACATTAAAGGCCACACCATCTCCTTCTTCATACCTTCGATTATCCATATTAATTTCGACGAAGTCGCACATTTTCCATCACACTTTTGATTCATTTACTTCGCAGAATGTGTCAAATTCCTTGAATCTTATGGCCTCAAAAACGAACAAAGTCTCCGCTAGAACAGCAAACCCAACTGTGGAAGTTTCCTGTTGCCTCACAACTACTCCTGGACCCGGAACCACCATCCTTCTGACTCCAACGCCTACTTTCCTCCAGACAATAGGTCATACAGGACAGACCATTCCTCCTTCCACAGAATCTAGTATTTCCTCTGTTGTCGCTCCAGTGTCCGGTCCATCTCTGCTGTCTTCCTTGCCAATTCCCCCCTCTCTAGCAAGCCTCCCATCGACTCTGCCTTCTGGAGTCAATTATCTTTCTGCCTCGGGGTCAAGCCCTTCATCAGCCTCTCCATCCTTTTCCAACTTCACTCCCGTATCGTTCGGAATGCTGTCAACTCAGACTGCTGGTCCTCTTGGATCTGTCGGTAGAGGCGGAGCCACTATGACTGGGACTCCCTCCTCGGTCTTGGAGCCCGTATTTTCACCAGTGCAATTTCAGTCGATGCTACCTCCTTCGGTACCCTTTTCCTCTCATGGCCAGACGCCTCAGGCGGGCGAGAAGCTAAATCAGCCGCGCTCTGGTGAGGTGTCTAAACCCGCGTTCTCGCTGGCCACGATCCAGTGGCCGCTTCTTGGGCTCTCGACTCATCCACCATCAGTACAGGCATATTCCTCATCACTTATGTCGGCACAACTTGCGCCAGAGGCTGGCAAGAGCAATCGTAGTGGGGATTCAACGCGACCGATCTCGCTGCCGGCCCATCTAGAAGTTTTGATGCATACTAAACCGACGCTCAGTGAGATAACCGAAAACTGCGAGGTAAAAATGCATGTAGATTTTTGTATGGCTGGACCAGAATAGTTAGATTCCAAGGGTTGCGCTAGAGCCCTCTTTGGTTGCTTAGGAAGGCAGAAAAATTGATAGTTGAGTTTCCCACAGAAAAATGAGTAAATGCTTTAGCATTTCCATAAAACTATCCCGGGAGCGAAACGGCTGTAATATACCATGTAAATGGTCCGCTGCCGAAACTCACGAATACTATGGCAGAAGATACATGACCAGATACGTTGCAAAATGTCTTAATGCAGTGATTCCCAAACTGTGCGCCGCGGCGCCCCG